TACTAGCCAAGAGACCCTGGGTGAGTGCCTAACCTCTACAGCTTATAATTATGCCACCTATAAAATGAGAATACCATATTCTTTGCAAGGTTATAAGGGTCAAAAAAAAAATATGTAAAATACTTGGCAAAGTTTTTAAAATATAGCAGTCACTCAATAAATAAGTTGTTCATATTATTGTATCTAAATATTAGGACACCACTGAAACAAAGAGAAGGCTTAGCTCTATACAGCTACAGACCTCATCATAGTTCTTCAAGGGCTTAGACCCAAGCACAAGACCCAGGAATTCAGCTTTGAGTCAGCAAGTAGTCTCATAAATAAGATGAGTATTAAGGCTTTGAAAATGCTTTAAGTTGGACCTAAGAGTAACCTTCACTGGAATCATCCAGCATGTGTTTCATACCACAGGAGTGGCAGGAGGCACGGGACACTCCTCAGGGCCCAGTGTGCTTTTAAGATGCCTTTTGGCAGGTGACAGAAAGAAATCTAACTATGGGCAGTGAACACACAATGCAATATATGTATGACATACTGTTGAACTGTACACTTGAAACATTGGATTTTGTTGATCAATGACACCCTAATAATTTTTAATAAAAAAAAAAAAAAAGATGCCTCTTGGCAGGAATCAGAATTTAGCTTAAGGTATATCTTAATACAAACTTAGGGAATAACGATTTGGCCACAGGTGAAAATGATCTATGGTCAACCTCTACCTTGTTTCCATGAGGGAATAAGTAACCTCTAATTAACCGTTTTGCTGCAGCTGCCAGGGAGGCAATACTACGAATATCTAAAAGTATGTGAACATTAGGTTCAACATTAAGATCAACCACCCATACGTGCACACGCGGACTACCTTTCAACATGCAATGAAAGCTCTTTACGTCAAACTGCACCACAATATAGTTCCACAGAAATTTGCCACTAAATATTTATTTACTTGGCTATGTAATATATTCAATTTTTAAAGCTTAATACAAGTGAATTATCCACTGAAGTTTACTGTGCTATGATTAGACCTAAATATCTAGAAAAAAAATTAGGTAATCTCTCCATAAAGAAAACGGCGGTAGGGGTTAGAGGGGTGTGGTGCTAAGAATTAATGTTGTTACCTTTATATGTATATCTAGCCTATCCACTTAAATTATCTGAGTCCGGTAAATAAAAACTAAGTTGGGCTTTACTTCATAAAAATCTAGATTTGGGACCAAATGACCTGGGTTAAAGTTTCATTTTACTTCTCACCTGTTCTGTTTGTTTTCTTCTTGGACAAATCATGCTGAGCTTGTTTACTCATCTATATTGAGAAAAATACTAGCCCTTCTAACTTATCCCATAGGAGTCACACAGGGATCAAAAGAGAATGCTTTGTAATCGGTACCAGGGAAAAATCATGGTACCACTATGACCCTACCCCCACTCCCACACCTTCCACAATCCTACCCTCCTCCCTGACCCTCACAGCAGCCAGACTTTGATCTGATCTGTATACTGTAGTTCCATTAAGATTCTGGTTGGAAAAAGCATTGTGCTAAAAAAATACGTTTGAAAAAAGCTATACTATACAATAGCAAATTCTTTTCACAGACAACTAAAAAAAAAGTCATCGAAGACATTGAGCAACTACTCTAAAAATAAAAGTATCTTGGTTTTTCATGCCAAAAAGTATCCATTAAGTATACATAAAACTACTTCAGTGACTGCTGAGTAATCAAAGTGATCCAACTAAAGAATATTTGAGACATTTATAATGAATTTGAGTGAAATTTATTCTACAGAAATTCCCACATAGACTCAAAAAAACTAATGTCATGATTACAGAATTATTATTGTCTCAGAACTGCTGCCAGAAACACAAGTATAGTTATATTTAAGACAAAGAACACTTTAAAACAGCTTTGGATATTAGAAAGATTACATTTAAAAATATAAGCCTCCCTGCATTGTTGTGGGAACAGGTGACAGCAGTGTTGTAAATACACATCCGTGATCGAGTTTTAGCTTGGCAGTGTTCCAAAAAAGAAAAAGTTAAAAAAAAAAAAAAAAGAGAGAGACACTGCAAGACTGTCTTGTTTTACCACTCTTGGGGGCAAGCGAATATAGAATAAAAGAGCCCTCTGAGGGTAAGAGACCAGTCTCTGCTCCAGGGAAATATTGAACCAGAAATCTATGCTCGTTTGTCCATTATCTGCTCTAGATTTTCTGGGTGGCAGCTATCATCTGCTGGACTTACATTTATTCTTAGCTTGGCGCCTCCACTATGGACCTTCTTTAATGGCTACTTACTCTGCTGGATTTACAGTAGAGACTAGCATGACAGCAAAAGCGGTGCGTGTGAAACAGTGATCCCAAACCAAAGAATGAGTATGAACCCGCTGGCATGCAATTATGCTGAACTACCAAGAGAAAGCGAAATAATTCTGCTTCACTGAATACATCCTTTTCTTTTATGCTTAAATTTATAGAATATTTAGTGGTGGCAAAATTCTGGGCATATATAAGCCTGCCCAGCATCAGTTTCCTTGTTAAAAAGATTGTCATAACTTTCTTAGTCAGATGTCATTCGTATAGTAGAATGTCTACCCTTAAGAAAATCCTAAAATAGATCAATGGGTGATTACAAAAAAATTTATAGCAGTCTTCCCTTAAACAGAAATCTCATTTGCAAAAGGGTGTTTGACTTGTAATATTTTTCTAGACTACATCTAATGCATAATGTGAAAAAGAACACTAGTTCCTAAAACTGAGCTGTCTAAAACTTTTGCACAAGGAATCCTAGTATCCTTTATTAAAGTTACTCTATACAAATTACAAATTTTAGACAATGCGTAAGTGACCCATATCCGACCAGTATCACGAAGGTACAGTTTCATGTATGTAGAATAATAATAAAATTCTAAAACAGACTGTAAAAATACTCTCAAAATTTCTATTTAAGAATAGCTAAAAATTTAATTTCATAGCTTTAACTTCACTAAGAAACAATTTAGACACTCAAGTCAACACGATTAGGAAAAAACATAACAAATAGTGTAAAGAACTGAAGATCAAAGAGCATCTAATTCGCAAGTAAAACTTTAAAAAATATTTCCCTATGAGAACCAACATTTAACCATTTCTTCCCTCAAAAGAACAATCTGGTCAGAGGTTAGGACTCTAAAGCAGGTATGACAGAGCTGGCCCACGGACACTGCTGTCAGCACCACCATTCCCCTGACGCTTTAGAACAGGTTTGGTCCAGTTAAGAGCATGACTCCTCCTCCCAGACCACCAGAGTCAAAAGGGTCAAGTGCATGGCAATTACACTTTACAATGCCAACCAGCCTCTTCTGCAGTGAAGCTAGGGAACTGAGAATGGTGTAATAAAGACTGGGTTTTAGTTTCGACTCTACCAGTAATCTTTCTTTTTAAGAAACTTAGTATTTCTGCACCTTTTTAAGAAACTTAGTATTTCTGCACCTCTTTTTTACAAATTTGTAAAAAAGAGATTGCTCAGTAACAGTAATTTAGTCATGGCAGAAAGTGATCCTGGTTCCAGTTCCCCAGTGTTCTAGACATTAAATGACAAGGATACTTGGCAAAGTTGGAATGAAAAGGTTCACATGCAAAATTCTGTTGTGTCGGTTCCTTAATGCACATGCCCTGCACGACGCAACGCCACCCAACGATGGCTTCAAAATCAGAAGTTTTTCATGAGAAATACTGATTAATCAGAAAATGGCAATGGTCTCTATACACAGCAGTCTACAGCAATGACCCATGAAGTGGGCATCAGTCCACACCAGCAAGGTACAATATACTTGGTCTTCAACCAGGCAGGCCCCTGTGCCTCTAGACCTTCCATTCAGGGGTCAATTTCACTCTCTTGGAGTCTGACCATACTCACCTATGTGAATATGTAAGTCGCTCATTCATTCGAGCCTCGACTCAGAATTACTATCATCTACACACTGACGACTCTCAAATATGTTTCTCAAGCTCAGGCTCTCCTCCAAGCCCCTGCCTCGTTTTACCAGCAGTCTGTTCTACCCCTGCTTGCCAACAGCACCCATGATCCAAACTAACTCCGGAAAGGCCCTACTCTAAATCTCCCCTCCCAAGCTTTCCCATCTGTGTAGCCAACATCACTATTCACATCACTGCTTAAGGTAAAACTCTGAGGCTCTTTCC